AATGATTATGTGTGTACTCTGTAGATGTCTGTGTTAAGTGTTTTTTAGGATAGTGTGCCTGTAGTGAGCCGCAGTTCAGTAGGATAGATACAAGGTCCTTGACATATAAATGGAAGGCTACGTCCGTTAAGATTTGAAAAAAATTGTTGACGCATAATGGCAGTTGTTCTGTAGATTTGAACACAAACTTAGTAGTTGGTAGAGATATGACTATTATTAATATTGTCATATTATAGATTATTTCCTTGTTTGTGTCTGTGTAGAAACTGCGTTTATGGTCATGGTGCAGACATATTTCGGCTCGTCTCCTTATTTCCGATACGGCTACTGAGTGTTGTTCTCACTGCGTTGCTGTGTTATTTCCCCTAATTAGTTGCATCGTATGAGCAATCGACTCTTAAAAACTTGATTGTGATATCGAGTCTTGCCTGATTTATTGTTAGCACTAGATTGTGATTGTTTTGTGAATAATGTCTTGTGTTGGCCTCTAGACTGCGTATATTTAGTGGTAATTACTGAATGTGTTAGGACTAGGTTGCGTATTTACTGATAGGGTGACATAGAAAAGGGACAAGTATTTTTCTTGAGTGCATTAAAGCGAGACAAGTACGATGTGCAGTTGTGTGTCTGGTTGAGAGTCTAATAAATCCTTGGCGAGGTCAATCGTCCTCGATCATCATTGTTGCGCCATCGTGTTTTTCATCCAGCAGCCATGTTCCCTGGTCTGGAGAAAATAAACGTTGGTTTGTGGTTTTGACTGTGGCATTGTTTTCTGGTTGTCTCCTTGTCCAAGGGTTTTCATTGGGTCGGTCTAGAGCCGTTCAATTCTTCTTTTATCATTCTTGTCTATCCTCTTCATTACATATTAGTATTGTTTTAAATACACAATCACCCATCCTCATCGGAAATGATTAAGTAGTTTTCGGATTCCTTTTATGAGTTTCATCTGTTACTATCCAAAGTCTTTTAACAGTTGCTATCATACTGCTTTTATTATCTGCCTGGTAATATTATCGAGCAATATATTTTTTTAATTGTTACTATATTTATGTTGTTACTACGTTAAAGCAGTGTAGTTTTATATGTATATATATATTTTTTCAACCGTGGATGGAGCGATTTAAAATATTTGCTTTGTATGTGTATTTATTTATTGGGAAGCAAGGCAACGGTTTGACTGTGATTTTTGTACAACTGCGAGATGACTAGTCTCGCCGACTCTATAAAAATGGCTAGACAACATGAGCTGACGGGTGAAAAGCGCTAGAATAAGCTGTCAAGAAGTATACAGTGTTAAGAAAGTGACAAGATCCTGCCGACGAGAGAGAACTGAAGAAACTAGTAGAGCAAAATAAAACCAAACAGATCGAGGCTATTACAATAGAAAAACAGTTAGCAGTCTAGGCTGCGTTAAAAGAACGGGAACTAAGGGCCCCGACAGCCTTGAAACAGCAAGAGTTAGCAGCTTTAGCTGAAAGAGACAGAGTACAGTTATTGACAAGGTAAAAAAGAGATAATCAGTAACATAGAGATACAGAAATAGAGGTAAACAATGGAACTAACGGCAACATAGCTAGAAGCCAATAGGAATGCCAAGGCACTGACGAAAAAAGCTGAGTTGAAGACAGCTGAGCCCTCAAAAAAATATCAAGATCTGGTTAAATTTTTTAACCAAGGTGAATCCATATTGGCATGGAAACAAAATGTTTAATACATGGCAAAACACTTTGAAGTACCACTCACAGAGTGGTCACTAGTTTACAGAAAACATCTAGGCGGTGAGACATTGAAACTATTAGAAACGATTCCTTTCGAAAAGTTAGGTAATTAAGAGTATTTAAAGGTATAATTTTACAGCATTTTGCACTAGATAATGACTCTTATAGGCATTAAAAATATGTCTCCAAAACATAAACAAACCTTTATTGACGACATGTCGGAAGTTGAGACTATCTTTGATAAGTAGAAAAGATAAGTAGAAAACATCTGCTAGAATTGGTGAATCTTTTGAGTTGTTAAAAGATCTGCTAATAAGAAATACAATTTTGTCTAGTTTACACAGTAACATGATGATATTCCTGATTGAACAAAAGCTCTCCCCAGTTTAAAAAAAAAAAAAAAAAAAAGAAACATCCGGAGCAGCTTATTTCAATGCTCATAGAAACATTTTTATTTTCGGCTCACATTTCATTTATGGGGCTGCTGTGGAACCTGTTTACAGAAAGAAATCGTACCACACCGAGGCTACAAGAAGGACATTTAAAGACCATTGGAGTCACAGATCCTTTTTGGATAGGCGCCCGATAATCACATGCCTATATTGTAAATCAAAGCATGGTAGAAGGCAGTGATGTGAGGAGAATCCAGGATTTGAACAGCATGTCCAGAACTGGCTTAAGAGCAGAAGATCATGTGGCCTACCTCGTGAATGCCTCATCTGCCGTGCAATTATTAACTTGCAGGAAAAATGCAAGTACCCTAAACAATATCAGAGTTTTGCGGAGGAGACTTCTGAGAGCAGTGGGAACGATAGTGATGGTATGATATCGGATCCAGGTATTTCTGAACAGTCTACCGCAAATGCTTCAGATACTGTGGACTTTGCAGAGACAAAAAGGCATTAAACAGGCGTCTGAGTTTAAATATCTGGGAACTACATTTACCGAAGATGGGAAATTGGATAAAGAAATAAACATTGCATGCATTAAAGCAAACCAAGTATTGGGGCAGCTAGCTCCCCTCTTACAGCATAAGACAATCCCAATCAGCACAAAGGGACATCTTATTCAAAGCATTTTTATTCCAACTCTGCGCTACCAGTGCCAGACATGGTCACTCATAACAAACCACAGAAGAAAATTAGTAACCAATGAAATGAGTTGTCTGAGAAGGGCTGAAGGAGTGACCATAAAAGATAAGATCAGAAATGAGATCATAAGAGAAAAAGTCGGCACAGAACCAATTCTAAATTACATACAAAGACAGCCAGTAAAATGGTTTGCCCACTTAGAGAGAATGCCTTTTGACACTATACCATACAAAGCATACATGGAAAGAGAATAAGGACGTAGGGCAAGAGGTAGACCAAGAGCAAAATGGAAAGATAAAATCAGAGAAACTCTACAACAGCACGATGTGCCTATGGTCGAGGCGGCCAGAAGAGCTAGAAACGGAACCTTATATCTTCTCGACACCCACAGCGGTAAAAGAGGAAGTGAAGAAGAGTAAAAGAAGCAGAACGAACGAACGAACTTTATTTTCAAAGGGTTACAAATTAGGCCTGTCTTACATTCGGCCCTTCCAAACTTCTATCTTTCACACAGCAGTTGTACTTTATCAATGAGAGACAAAGTAAGAAGCAGAGACAAAGTGGCACGTATGCAAAACATTCAATAATAATGGTAAACTTACATGTGGGCTTGATGCATTAGCAACATGAGATTTAAATGCTGCAACCGGCTCTGATAGAAAACTCAATCTTTGTAGGGATATCATCAAAGGATAAAAGTGTACACTTTTGAGAGAAACTGGCTCGACAGTATTAGGCATTAGAAAGAGCTTGGTGAATGATTGCGATTACACAGAGGGACATATTATATGCCGTACGTCTTCTGGAAGGAAAGAAATGTACGAGTTCGCATGGGCCAATCTCAAATCAGCATATTGTACTGGAAGGACCAAGTTTGCTGTGTTATTAAATCCAGCTGCTGGTGTCATTATAGGCAAGAATGTGAGTGATGTGTCTGAAAATGGTGTAGTGAAATGGCAGTACGAAAACATTGCTTGTGGTGTTGCAGCAAGACAACACGCTGTTAAAGAGAATGATTTGAGTGAGAGAGAGTTATGCTAAAATTGTTAACTTGTATTCCTTCTACACAAGCAAACCTCAGAGATGAGTTCATCTTGAACAAAATAGATGACAACTTCCTCAATAATTATTTTTAAGTTGCAAAGATCCCAGCAAAATCTTTCAAAAGTGGTAAATGGTATTCTTATTTCAGAAATAGCATTTTAAAAACATTTTACCTGAAGGGCATAGCAAGCATAAAACAATGCTACCAACCATGTAAAGGCAGAAGGCAATTGAGTTGGCACATGATTTACCATTTGCGGGACACATGGGCCACGAAAAGACTAAAAATAGGCTTCTCAGCGAGTTTAATTGGCTATTGTAATTGCCAGGCTATTGTAAAGACGTAAAGGATTACTGCAGATCATGCCATGTATGTCAGACAATGATACAAAAGGGTAAGCACCCAAAAGCCTTTGTTCAACCAACTGATCTGGCCGAAAGACCTTTTCAGAAGGTGGCTGTTGACCTTGTGGGCCCATTAAATACGGTTTCAAGTAAGGGAAATAGGTTCATCCTTACAATGGTTGACTTTTGTACTCGTTGGGCTGAAGCGGTACCACTTAAGAATGTTACTTCCCAAGATGTGGGAGAGGTAATATTTCAGCTGTTTGCTAGGTTCGGTTTCCCAGAAGTTATATTATCCGACAGGGGTACTCAGTTTATTTCAAGTGCTATGCAACACTGCACTAAACTGATGGGGATCGAACAGGTATTCACGACCCCCTATAATCCAGCGGCAAATGGAGTCTGTGAAAATCTTAACGGCAATTTAAAGCGCATGTTATCAAAAGTAACTTCCGAACGACCTAAGGATTGGGATGTGCTGCTACCAGCGGTTCTATTTGCATACCGTGAAGTTCCACAAAGTAGCACGGGATTTTCTCCTTTCGAATTAGTTTATGGTGCCAATCCCAGAGGACCTTTGTCAATATATAATGAATTACTTTTGGGTAAGGTCACCGACACTAAAACCGTAACTGAATACGAAATGGTTACAAATTTGAGAGATAAAATCATGAGTGCATGCATAATTGCTCGAAAGTCATTAGACCAAGCTGGCGTTCATTACCGCAACTATGCAAATAGAAATGCAAAAACCATTACACTGGCTGAGAACGAAGAAGTGTTGCTCCTCCTTCCAGATCAGAGTGATAGATTAGCGGTATCATGGCAAGGGCCATTTAAAGTCTTAAAAAAGATTTCAGATGTTGATTATCAGATCCTTTATAAGGGAAAACCTAAAATTTATCACATCAACATGTTAAAACCATACAGACAGCGGGTTGAGAAAGTTCAGAACACAGTGGTAACACCTGTATCTACCGCAGTGGATGTGGCATGCAGATTAATTACTGAACCCGAAGATGACCCCCCTGAAGAACAGATACAAACACCTACAGTGAGCTCACAAAGCTCATGGAAACAGATAAAAATTTCACAAACATTACCACCACCAGAGAGAGCTAAATTAATTAATTTACTTGAAGAGTTTTCTGACATATTTTCTGATATACCAGGCAAATGCACTGCAATTAAACACCACATACGGCTAAACACAAACAAGCCAATAAAAGTAAAGCAGTATCCGGTACCAGAACAATACCGAGAAAAACTAATTGACGAAATTAAAATGCTAGAAAAATGAGAATTATTGGCAGGTCAAATTCTTGCTACTGTTCACCAATCGTGATAGTTAAAAAATTGATGGGTCTATGCGGATGCATTTTGCTGCATTTTAGACTCCATTAGGCATGTACGAGTGGCGGCATATGCCATTTGATTTGATTAATTCTCCCACGACCTTCGTCCAGCTAACAAGATTGGTTATGAATGATATTCCTGGTGTTGCTACTTAGATTGATGACGATCGCCATTTTTTTGGTAGCAATGATTTTTTAACCTTTGTCCGTCTAATTTTAACTCATATTTGTTTTTTTTAGCAATGATTTTTCACATCATGTAATTACAGAATAAAACAATTTGCAATGACAGTCAAACCAACCCAAGTAGAGATCGGTTTTTGACGAAATTGATTTTTTCGGTATTCAATTAATTAAATATTAATTATTAGTGATGTGAAAATTGTTTCAAAAATTTTGAATTTGAAAATCCCTACCACCAAAAAAGAGATCCGAAACCTTCTCGAGCTCATAGACTATTATAACAAGTTCATTCCAAATTTTAGTCAAGAAACTGCAGCCTTTACGAGACTGTTGAAAAATTCTTCTGCAATATGATCCAGTGGAATACGGAGTTGGACCGGGCATTCGTCAGGATTAAAACCATTTTCTCCACCCCCCTCCCATTTTTGTACTGCCCAACTTGAAATTGCCTTTTAATCCTAAGTGCAATGCAACTAGATGCAATTGGATGGAGAGGTACTACACACGATCTGCTTTGTAAGCAGAAAGTTGACTCCAGCTGACGAACAGTATGACAACAAACGACTTCTAGTCATTAAGACGGAGCTCCTAAAACCAGCCACATTGCGAGATGGACATTACTACTACAAGAATTCAAATTTTAGATTGTCCATATCAAAGGCTCCACCAGCCACATAGCAGATTTACTATGCCGATTGTAACATTGACACAGCATCCAACAGAGTAATGTCAGGTCGATTAAACGACATCTTTAACTTTTAAGATAACCATATAGCAGCATGCTAAAAAGAGCTGTCTGTATCTTGATTCAAAAGTACAAGATTTTACCATACCTGCATACGAAGACAATGTTGTTTGATGCAGATCTCTACACAAGATATATCTATATAGGCATTTCACTTCACATAGACAATGTTTCTTGTTGCAGTACATTACACATGATAAATCTACACAGTGTTTTTAATGGACACATTTGACAAATTGTATCTGACCTTGTAATGATGTTAATATACGTTCCTCAAAGAGAACTTTAAACATTTCTGTTTAAACTGTCACTGTTGCATACATTTAATATTTGAAACTGAGATAGGGTAAAATTGTCTTCAACATAAATACTGTTGCCGCAGTGACTTATCTAACTGGCTACATGGACATAAGCAGCAATTACACGTTCAACCAGGCTAAACTATGTTTGAAATTTATAAGTCTCAAGATATTCTTCAAGATAAATACCGTTCCTCAGAAACTGTACTACTGACTGAATAGACATTAATAACAGTTGCGTACCAAACTTTGCTAACCTATGCACATTTGGAAAATTTCAAAAAGTTTAAACCGTTGTCAAATAAAAGATTCTAAGGACATCCTCTGGAATAAATGGATTAGTTAAGTATGATAAACGAGTGAAAAGGTAATAGAAAAAAATGAATGGATGAACACAAGATGTACTACGTTGATATGAACCTATGTATATATACTTGCATTGATACTAATGAAGTGCTGGTATATTTTTATATCGTATATGTTTTACGTTGTATATGATTTACGTTTTATGCTTAATATGTTAAAAGTGTATAATTTATTTATTTTAGTATGTAATAATTTTTCTAAAATTGGTTTTGCCGTTATGATTTTTCAAAATTATTTTTCGGATTGTGTTCTAGACATTTCACAGATAATGTGTTTCACAAATTTTGGCATCTTAATTTTCACAATAGTTACGCTGCTGCGAAATTTTAATTGCTACTCAACGTAGTGTTGACGAGCAACTTCATGTAATAATAAGTATAAATAATAGGTTGACAGTAAGACTACAAAGAAATCAATCTGGCACAGGCTTTCTTTTTACAGATGTAATATACTTGTAGTATTGTAAGTTATAACGACAATAATAATAAAAATAATTTAATTATTTGATGTTTTTTGTTGTTGTTAGAAACATGTAAAAATTATAAAGCGATTACAGTGAACAAATTGTTGGGAGGATATTGTATTTCAGATGAGCTTCAATGAGACTAATTATAGGGTTTTGAAATTGTAAGAGATTACACATGGGGGTTGACGGTGTCCTTGGTGGATGGGTATACGTCGTACAGGCCACACATTTGTCTACTATTCATTCTACACGGTTTTTTAGAAGGCACAATACGACTGGACATCAGGAGGCTGAAAAAGAACCATAAATTGCTCGGGGAGACATATATGTGACGACCATTGTTATAAGCATAGCTGGGAAGCGCGTTCAATGGCGTTTAACTCGCACGGAAGTGGGAGTAAGTTCAATGGGTGTACACACAATAATTTAAGGTAATTATTTGTAAACTTAAAAATGTTAGATATGGTGGCGAATTTGTGTCAGGTACTGACACCATATGTATTTTCGGGGGAATTTGTCGTTATGTGTGTACATTAACAAATTTATTAGCTTTATTCTCATGTGGTTGACTTAGGGTGAAAGACATCGCATGCCTACCCACTTGACTGATTGTTCTTTAACAAAAAGGGTAGGCAGGGGAGCGGGTGATATTTCATACCTAATTGCTTATACTTGATTACAGACAATGATGGGTAGCATCTGACATCAAAAAAGTATCGTTTCAGAAGAGGGGTGGATGTTATAGCCCTGTGGAAAGGGTATGGGAAATAGTATAGATGATAACACATGCAGCTGCTTGTGTTTGTACTGACGGTCCAAAAGGTGCACCAGCGGTCAGCCAGCTGATTTTACGATATCGGGAAAACCCATTATAGCTTGAACACTGGTAGTACATGCAGGTTTCACCCGATGTTGAACGGGGAAGAGAAGAAGAGCGTTGGACATGGACATGTGAGGCTGAAGACACAGAGAGACGTTAATAATTGTATTGTGTTAGGAGTTGAAAGACAGGGACACATGTGAAATGACTTCACTATTTCATCATCAAGGACTCCTTATTGAAAGGACTGTACAGCCTTCGCACGTTCACATCAGAAAGCGCTGTTGTAACAGTGACTCCGCTACCACGCGCTGGGTGGACAGGCTAATAGAAATAATATTCGGCATTCTGCAAATCTGGAGGACAGGCATGGCAGAATGTTTTGCTTGAAGTTTAATTTTACGCTACCTATTGTGCCCATTTACCCCCTTCAACATCATCATCATCATCAGGTGCCTTGCCTACCGGCGTGAGCGATCATCCCTCTCTTCAGAATCTTTGATCTCCTGCAGCATGTGTCAGTTCGTTTGCAGACACCTCCGTGATATGCAAAAAGACTGTCAAGAATCTTCTCTCGTTGTTTTCCTGCATTCCTCCTTCCATAGATCTTTCCAGTGGTCACACCATGTTCAATTTCCCTCTTCTCATAACATAGCCGAAACGTGATGACTGTCTCCTTCTGATTTCTGTGATAAGTTGTCTTCGAAACAACGAATTTCCATCAATAACAAACTGCATTTCTGGTGGCAGCGGTTAACCTTCACACCTTTGACCTTATTCATTTACTGCGTACACATCTTCATATTTCTGAATTGTGTTGGGTTAATTCTGTAACCCAGTATTCTTAAAATAGGACAGTGAGGTACAGTTTATTTGATATTCACTGGGACCGGAACAGAACAAGTATATAGTGACCCCAGTGAAACGGAGTTAAAACCTCGACGACGACAAGTCAAAAAGAATACAGAGGCCAGGTATCACTAGCAACATCAATAAAACCACTGTACATATCTGAATCATTGACACCATGAACAACAAAAACATCAGCGCCTTCCCAGGTGCGGTAATTCCTCGACGTACATGTCTTTCTTGTCCATAATTAAACCTTTAAATTTTCCGTCTATACATTGTTGTCAATGTTGTTAGGCTGACTCTAACTATAAGATATTAGGGAAATGTTGCTTTCAACATAGTTTATATTGTATAAACGATACGTCGTGTTTTTGACAGTCTGGTGCACTAAAGAAGCTACGATATAAGTACCAGTTAACACGTCTACTTTGGGGAAAAAACTGTTTGCCAGGAAAATTAAGAACCCTGATAGGACAAACCAGACACCCAAAAACAGGTGTGAGTCAGCCACAGCAAGGGGATAACCAACAGAGGAAATGGTTTCTTCTCTTTTGACAAGAGAATAACCTTTAGTTTGACCCCCGCCTCTCCCCCTCCCCCTTTCCGTTACACTAGACCTCATCCCGAAGAAACAGTTAAATTAAAACAATTTTTATTCCATTGTAAATCAAGTGCAACATAAACATTTTTTTTTTATAAATAGGAAGTAATCTTGACCTAGAATGGCTACAGACACCAGAATTCGCACACACATGTTTTATGAGTGGCACCAGGAATTTGATATAAGGGATCAAAGCTTGATACATGCAAAAGATGTGTAATATCATTAAAGAAGACTTTTTTGTCTCACTGTTTCACACACACATGCACAACCACACTCGCGGGCACACACATGCACACACACAACACACATACATGCATATATATATAGATGTATATATATATGTGTGTGTGTGTTCGTGTGTGTGTGTAAACATTTCCTTGCTAATTTATAAATATCCATACGGACCTATACATAGCTCTGTGAACAAAAATACAAGCCAAATTATGTTAAGACACGGTTTCTATTGCAACTTGATGGTGATGGCAGTACCGAAAAACAATCGTCACTCGATATTTTAGATATTTGAAGACAACATTTATGGCATCGCAGCTGCAGGCAAATTAAAATTTAAAATATAGAGCTGATTCAACTTTCTGTAGGCAACTTATGG